CTGCCGCAGGGGCCTTTGCAGGTTGCCCAGCCCTCAGAGATGTGAAAGGGGGCCCTTCAAGTCTCTGGCTTGCCGAGGGATCCCATGATACAGATATCTTTGGGAAGCAGTAGCTCCTTGCCTACTGCAGCCCCTTTCTTCTCTTCCCTCTCTTCAGGCCTGCCGTGTTCTCTGTTTCTTCCCACTTTCCTCCACCTCAGCCCATTTCTCTTGCTGTCCCCACTTATTTGCCTCATTCCCTGTCTTCACACCCCAAACCAAGGGTCGCCACCTGGGCTTCCCCTTTTTTCTCCCTTTTACTTGGATGCCCTATGCACTGCAAGGAGCTGCTGCCATTTCCTCTTCGCCCTGGCACTCGCTGACGTGGGAGCGCTCGGGTTCGCGGGGCACAGGAGAGCACTGTGCTGCGGCGCCCGCCCTGCGCCGTCCCGCATCTGAGCGGTCTCTGAGGGGAGCTGAACCAAGTCCCAAGTGCTCCGTCCTTCCCCAGGAGCGCAAAGAACAGTCCCTGCAGTGACCTGAGGTCCCCGGGGCAGATTAAAGACTGATCCCAAAGACCTGCAACGGGTCAGAGTTTGTAAACACAAAAGGGTTTTAATGCAGCCAGGCTTGGGAGGGATCAGTGCCCTCAGAGCCAGCGCCTGCAGCTGAGTCCTGGGAGCAGAGGGCATGTGCAGGGTGTCTGCACAGGGAAACCGGGGCTGTGCTTGTGCAGAAGGGCCTGGCGCCCCAGAGCTGTGTTGCTGGGGAGAGGCCCTTCGTGGGGATCCCCAAAACGGTGTCCAATGGTGCATCCCATTGCCCAGACCCTGTGCTAGCTTCGAGCTTGCAGCGCCCTGGTCCGGGGACCTGCCTGCAGCTGGTGTGTCTCACAGAGGGAGAGCCACTGTGTGTCTTGGCCAGGGCATTGCTTTCAATGGAGACATATTTTGTAGGCTGAGATCTGTGGCTAGTTCCCGCTTAGAGGCTCTTGGTGCCTCTCTGCATCTCCTGGTTCTGAAAGGGCCCTTAGGCATCAGAGATGAAGTCCTCTTCTGAGGACTGCAAGCTCCTGTGGCCGCCCCAGCCTGTCCCCTTCCCCAGGAGCACAGCAAGGTCCTGCCAGCATCACTGTGTTAATCATCCTCGTCCCACTGGCTCCTGGCTGCCACACCAGGATCCATCCAGAGAGCCAGTTCAGACAGGAGAGTCTGGCAGGATCCTGGTGTCCTCTGTGGCTGAGCACAGGGATATCATGTGCCTGGGATGAGGGAGCAGGATGTCTGAGACGGAAGCAAGCCCGTTGCCCTGCGTGCTGTGCACAAGCCCTTGCGTTTCTTTGTGGGAGCTCGAGGCCAGGAGGAGTCATTGGATGGCATTCGCGGTACAAGCGGCACGTGGTCACCACCCTGTGTTACAGGGCTGTCCTGCTGCAGCTTCAGCTGTGTGTTTGCTGCTCTGGGAAAAGCAATGGAAAGGACAGACACCCCCTGCTTTGAAGGTTCTGCTGAGGGGTCCCCTCTGGCTCCGTGCAGGCGATGCCCTGTACTTGCTTCATCCCCACATCCCTGTGTTGGGGACGGTGACATCTCCTCTCCTCTGCGGTGCCTTGGAGCAGTCAGCTGCTTTCCTGCAGGGCATCAGCCCGCCCTCGTGCTGGCACCTCCCCTGCCAAAAATCCCTTCTCCCACCCCCCACTTCCCTGCCGGCAGCGGGACATGCCGAGCAGCGCGCTGGTAATGGCTCCGCGGGAAAGCCTTGCGAGATGGTGCTGGGCAGCACGGAGGGAAGGGAACCACTGGCTGCAGTGCGGGTCCCAGGAATGGGAGGGCGAAGAGAGAGAGCCAGCAAAGTGGGGGGAAGCGCAAGGAGAGTGAAGTGGGAAAACTCATTTGGATCTCGGGCTGGGAATCATCTTGCCCTCAAGAAAAGGGAACGGCACTTAACTTTGAGCTGCACTGAGCCCCTGTGGAGCTGGAGGAGCTCTGTGGGGCTCTTCTTGCCCTCCCTGCAATGCCCTGGGCCCCCCATGTGTCCTCTCCTTGCCCCAACCTCCCAGCACACCCTTCCAAGCCCAGAGCAGTGGCTGGGTTTTCCCGCAGGTTTTGGGGAGTGCTTGAGGGCTCTGCCCCTGTGCCAGCGCTGCCAGGTGGGGCAGGGTGCGCAGGGCTGCTAGTGCAGCCTCTCTGCTGTTGTGGGAAGCAGCAGCCATTCGGCAACGAGGAGGAGGAGGCCTGGCAGGCTGCACTCGGCTGATGCAGGTGAGAACCAGGCTGCAATTGTGCAAACAGGCGTTGGGGCAGGGCACTGGGTTAATGTTTGTGGCACCTAGCATGGCAAGGTTGCCAATGCCCTCGCGTGGAAGGAAGTGAAGTATTGCTGCATGCTGGGGCCGGGTGATGCGAGACAGCATTGGCTACAATGCCTCGCGGCAGCACTTGGGCCAAGGGGGTTCAGGCGGAGGCACACAGGGCTGTGAGGCGCTGCCGTGGGTGGCCGGGCTGCTGCTCCTGCTGTGCCCAAAGCTGTGGGATCAGGGAAACAAATCCAGCTGGCTTCAATATACCCATGAGTGCTCCTGGGTGCTTTTTGCCTTGGGGGCTGGAAGACCCCCCAGGAGAATCCACTGCAGCCAAATCAGGATTGATTTGGCTCCTGGGTGCAGCTGCAGCCTGGAGGGTATTGGCACAAACAGAGGCTGGGATGGGTGGTGAGGCTGACAGAGCAGGAGGCTGAGCTTTGAGTCACTTGCAGGGGAGCCAGAGCCCCTGGAGCTAAGCAGAAATGGGTGCTGGGGCCGCATGTGCCAGTCCAGGCATGTGCTGTGAGCCAGGGCGGTGTGTGCCGAGCAAGGGCTGCTGTGTCGCCTGCCTTGCTGGGCCTCCCCTGAACTCACTGCCCTTCTGAGATGTCCTCATGATGCAGGGGGGAAGGCTGCCAGGGCATCTCCTGAGGATCCTGGTCCCTAGACCGGAGCATCCTTGCAGCCCTTTGCTCTTTACCCTCTGGCCAGCAGCATGCTCCTTTCCAGAGGCTGGCAGAGCTGTCGTCCTGCTGCTCAGCTGCTGCGAGAGGCTGCCTGGAAAATCACAACCTGCTCTGACCTTTCCCGTCACTTTGGCCTGGGTGTCTGTAGTGCCACAGCTCTTCTTGCCTGGCGCTCCATGCCAGGATGGGATGGGAGCTGGCGCTGCCTGGTTGCAGAGCCCATGCTGTGGTGGGGGAGATCACCCTTGCTCCGTGCGTGGTTTTTGGTGGGTGCTCTTAGCCCTGGCTTCCAGGTAAGGACTTGGAGTGTTTTTTCCTCTTGGAGAAGGTAGTTTGGGAGCCCCAGCCAGAGCAAACGTCTGGCAGAGCAGGGACACTGGGCTCCTGCATCCAGGCTGCGTTCACCTGCAAACAGTGCCAGGAAGGATGAGAGAGCAAGGACCATGTAGGGAGCCTGCCCCAGCTTGCCGTGCCCTTCACTTGCTGCCCCTCTTAGTGCATGTACGGTGCCTGGCTAAGTGAGTCCCGAGCACAGAGCTCCTGAGTGCAGACGTGCTACGGAGATGAGTTCCAGCAATGAAGGAGAAATGCCCCCAGGGCCCTTCCCATCCATCCAAGCCCAATCCAGCACGCCGCCGTGCCCTCTGCGGAACAGCAGCCAGGCCAAAATCTCACTGGCGGCGCTTGCACCAGCACAGGGCCTTGTCCCGCTCCATCCTGGTGGGAGCCACATCCTGGCCCTCGGGCTGACCAAATGGGATGGTGACAGCATCTTTGGTGCATGCCTGGATCCCCGCTGGAGAGAGGAGGGCCTGCAGCCACCCTAGGGTAGCTGCAAGAGCAGATACGCAGTTTACCGATGACGGAAGCCGCTATCTGTAATTTTTACCATCATAAGGATGATAATAAATGGCCAAGCCTCAGTTTTCCCTCTGCCCAATGCATGCGGGAGACCTGGCTTTGCCCTGGGGACCTTGTCTCCTTCGGCAGGAAATGGAGCCTGCTGGGAGCATCTGGAGACCTGGGACGTTGCCCACAGTGGTGTGTGTGCTGCCCACCTTCCCTGCCACTTACGCTCCCTTTTTTCCTTTTCCTTTTCAAGGTCTTGGCCGGAATCATTGGAGCTATAAAGGTAAATACCTGCAGTTACTTCTGTTTTTTGCTACCACCCTAGAGGCTGGGCCTTCGCCAGCTGCAGTTAATGATTGCCAGGTTCCCGTGCGCGCTCTGCCGCTTACCCTTCCCTCCCGCCTGACTCCGGCGGGTTCGGGGGCGGCCCGGAGCC